CCTGGGTACTCGATAGAGTAGAGATGTGCAGTAGGGAGTGGGTGCGAGCGCGCCGAAGGAGGTTGGGAAGGAGAGCTTGAGGCGCGTGAGGGTCCTGTTTCCTGTGGAGGGAGAGTGGAGGGTCCTGCTTCAGGCTGTGTGTATTGCATATCCATGGAATGCCGATAGTGAGGTCGGAGCTGGAAGGGCACCGGTGAGGTAGGAAGGGTACAAGGCTGAGCGCTGAAGCGCTGAGGGCTCAAATCATGTGGCGCGTACGGCAAACGCGTCTCATCACGTGCAGCGCGTACGTGCTCTGTAGTAGCTAGTACTAGCCGCCCTAGCCTTAGTCGAGCTCTCTTCCCTCGTTTCACTCGTGCAGTGTACACCCGTTCCCATATTCTGCTCACACCCAAGCAATGGATCGAAACACCAAGCCAACAGAACCCGCATCCACAACTGCCCCGCCAGAAGATGGCTCCTGGGGCTCTTCTCCAACATTTTGACACCTGGCTCTTCACTCCACCCTACTTTCCTCCTCATGGTCGACGGGGCATTTGCTTTATTGCTGCTCGTCTTCCTTATGCTACTATGGCTTACAGGCGGAAGCATACACATTTACGTCCTCATATTCATTGGAGGATGTCTCTACGCGAGCACCAAGTGGTGAGTACCTTGTTTGCGTTGACAAGGAGAGGCGAGCTAAAGCCTTCGACTACGCTCAGGTTCATTTCCGAACTGCAGCAAGCAGGCGGGATCCTGGCTGTGAGGAATGCGGCTGATCCAATAGAAGACACGGCCTCTAAACTCAAGCAAGAGTGATATCTCCTCCCATTCGCTATCATAGCCTTCCGAAAAGGTGTCTCACTGAACAAACACCCCCGACATGCCATGAACCCAGACAACATACAATATCATCGACGACCTCGCTCGCTGGTCTCATACCACACCTTCGTCCGCCTCGCACTATCCTGCGCCAGCTGGAAGACTGAAAAAAGGAGCGGTCAGCACACTCAGAAAACGGGCAAGGTGACGAAAGACGTACGTTCCCGCTCGGTGACGTCCATCCCTTCTCGGAAAGCCGCAATGTCCGCGTCACCGCCGCGCGAGCCTCCTCCGGCCTGGATGGAAGCGAAATGTTGGGCTTGGTCGATCACTTCTGGGAGACGTGCGCGGAAGGTCTAGCGGTGCGCGAAGAGAGACGCGAGGACGCAGGAGGAAGCCCATAAGGGAAACGCGGGAGTTAACGTGCAGCACGAGGAGAGTGCGGGACAGGTTCTTACATCGGTCAAGACTTTAGACAGCGTTTCGGCCGGCTCGTCGTCCAATCTGTATGGCACGCGTCAACTGCTGGGTGCGACAACAAGTTGGCAATGGGAGCAGCCCACAGTTTCGCGACCATTCGTCCGAAGCCATACCAAGGACCTCCCTGGCCAACAAGCAAGGATAGGCGAACGCTCCGCGGCTCCGCATTCAACGCGTTTCGTACGCGGGCAGAGAAGGACTGAGGCAGGGTAAAATCCGCGTAATCTCTGCGAAATGCGAGACTGAGGTCATGGAGGCTGACATGAACCGATTGCACGCACTCACGAGTAGATGAGAATGTATGCCATCCACAGTGGTATTTGGACTTTGCTCAGAGCTTTAATCTGCCATGCAATCCCTTTACGCCTATCTTCCAATGCTTATGGCGATGTGTAGACTCACGTCACCAGTCTTTCCGCCATCCAGATGACCCATATCTGGGACGTCGACCTTGAAGGTGCACTGGATCTTCTGGTTCTCCGCAAGGATGGACTCGATGGAGTAGTAGTCATCATCCATGGTCGCTCCGGTCCACGCATAACGGTTTGATTTCTCGTCCGGCGGAGACCGTCGTAGGGTCGGAGACGATGTGGGGGCGCGAAGTGGCTCGGATCCGAGGAGTCTGAAGGACGCGCCGACGCGACGCGTCCGAGGGCGTGCGCCGAGTTTCCCATGCCCGCGCCTCGTTAGGTACCGACGCGGCGCCCGAGCCCCGCAGCCACTCTCACCTTGCTCCCCGTCATCGCAACCCTCCTCGTCCTCCCACTCGTATATCTCTCCGCCATGCTCGCCCGCGCCGCGCCCCACACGTACCCCTGACCCGCGTGCTCGCGATCCCGACCCTCCGCCTCGCGCACACTGCCGCACTACGTCACATCCCTGCCCTCGCGCCATCGCTCCCGCCTCGCCAGAGCCCCCAGAGCCAATGGCGGGCGCGCGAAGCCCTCCAGACCCGCGCCGCATTCTCGACGTCCTCACCGCGGCAGGCGGGCGAGGACCCGCACATGCAGGCGGTGTTCAACAACCAGCAGAAGTTCCTGCGGCTCATGCAGGACAAGCCGGAGGTGTTCGAGAACATGAAGGCGTTCGCGGAGATGCTCGAGCAGAACGGTACGTGGGCGTGTCGTGTGGCCGTGACCCGTGTGGGATGCGGAGGGCTGACGTGATGTTCGGGCAGGTGTGGATATTAAGTCGGGGAAGATACCCAATAAGATGGACATGTTCCGGCTCATGATGCGGGCGGACGTGCGAGAGCGCGCAATGAAGATGGTTGAGGCGTTCAAAGAGGCTGGCATTGACGTTCAGTCAAAGGTGTGTCGTACGTTTGCAGCCAGGAGCTCTATCTTTAACGTTCACGTCTTCAGGAGATGTTGGAGTCGCTTCTGCGATGCAGAGACAAATGAACCCCGAGGACAAGTAGAATCTCAGTCATTGCTCGCAGTTGGGCTGTATATTACTCTGCATTTTAGTTGGCTATCATATGGACACTCACTTGCCAACCACAAGCTCAGGTCCTCACGGCATGAGAGAATTGCACACATGGAGTGGAGCGCAAAGCATTCTGGACCAATTTCGGATAACAGCATACGATACACGTCCGGCAAACATCACTTGCCCCACAACCGGTTTCGACTAGTCATCGTGCTTCAAAGCGGAACCTTGAGTCGAAACCGTCCCGAAAGGTTCTTCGCCAGACAGAGGTTCATCGGCCACGCGCAGCTGCCGCATCACCTGCTCGCGGCGAAGCCACTTCTCCTCCGGGACAAAGTACCAGCTAGCGATACCAAAGATGGTAACTGCTCCGAGGATCACTCCGGCCTGAGATTGGGAGGTCAGAACAGAATGGCGCGTATTGCACTTATTACGCACAAAGTTGAACGTTTCGGCAGTCACGGGGAAGGAGAAAGGCGAGACTTGGACCTGAACAAACACGAGCAAATCAGCATGCAACCTGTAGTCAAACTCAAGAAGACATACCGCGAAGATTAGCGCGTTGAAAAGCACGGTCGAAACGTAGAATGGCGTGCGCCAGCGACCCAGGAAGAAATGCGACCCCTTAAAGTCGTTGGGTGTCATCGTGAGCCGGAGGAGAGCGATCAAGCCGTACGCGGCCGTCGTAGGAATGCCTCCAGCAGAGATGAGGGACGTGAATGCGACCTGACTGGGTAGGATAGTGCACAGGATGGCAGCGCCGAAGATGAACATCACGGTAACCGCATTGCGAGGTTGCTTTGCGCTGTCGACACGGCCTATCCAGGACGACATGGGGAGCACACCATCACGTGCAACGGCGAATATTAGCCTGGAGGCAGCCACAATGGCGACACTGGTACTCTGGGAAGAACTGTGAGATGGTTATCAACAGGTCTGGTTGATCTCCACATACCAGGATGAGACCAAGAGAGGCAATGGCAGTCATGACGACGCTTCCTCCCTTGCCGAGGGCGAGCGCATAGATCTGGACGAAAGGTTGAGGGGCGGTGAACAGCGTGTCGTCCAGGTCGGGTGTGCAGAACAAGAAGAGGATCGTGGTCACGAATCCCATAACGCCTGTGGCGATCACGCTGGTGATGATCCCGCGTCCTGCAACCACACTGGCGTTCTTGGTCTCTTCGGCAACATGTCCGGAGGCATCGAAACCGATCATGGTACCGGCGGTGAACAAGCTGATAATGGGTCAGACGGGGGTTATGAGACATAAGAGGATCACAAACAAGGAAAGGATCCAGTTCCATCCTGCGGGCGCACCCGTGCCATTGTCTACAAGTATGGTATGAGCCAACGTCACGGCTGTTTTGAATACGCTACTCACTGGTCATCGTAAACACTTCTTTGGCGGAGCGGAAACCGTACGTCCTCGAAACCCCGATCGGCAGCCATGTGACGCAGAGCAGGAAGTCGAGAGCGTAGATGGCCATTGAGAGCTTGAAGACCGCGGAGTACAACCTAGGAGGCAGATAGTTGATAGCAATGGACACCATGAGGATGCCTTCGGACACCGCCCAAATGAGGGCTCGCCACTTGATGTTGTCATTGCTAACGCCCCCAGGAAAATCAATCTCCCACACGGCAAGCTGGGACACGATATAATTCGCGGTTGTCTGCGAACATATGAGTAACATGTATACGTACGGTTTAGCCTAGTAAGCAACACACCTGACAATTTCCGGCTGCAAAGGTCATCCAAGCGGTGCACGACCACCATGCGACGACGAACCCGAAGAAGCGAGCATACTTCGGACCCGCACTTTCAGCAGACCAGATATAAATCGAACCGCTGAGGGGGAGCGCAGAGCAGATCTCCGCGAGGACCGCCGCGGTGATGAACATAAATATCATCGAGATGATGTATGACGACCTACACACGTGATAGAGCATTGTCAGTAAATTGAGCTGATGACCCCAATTTTTCAGAGATCGTACCAGATGGCAGCAGGACCGCCGGCGAGCAGGCCGAGGAAGAAACCGGATCTGCGTAGTCGTCAGAACCTTCATCTAAGAATGAATACCACAGGCAGCTGTTACCGAACGCCGCCGATGAAGTTCATCGCGACAAAGCTTGCCGCAAAACTTTCGACGAAGTGCCAACTTCTGTGCAGTTGCTGAACACAAGAAATCAGCCTATTTGTTCAGAGCCACACCGTCCCGCAACAAACCTGCTTGTATCCGAGCTTGCGCTGATTGAAGGAAAAATTAAATCGAGGTCAGTACATCTGCCAGTGCTCCCCAGGAAGAATCCCAGGGAGCGAATAAAAGATGCGACACTGGGGGCTTCCCTACGCAGGTTTGAGCGCTGATCAGGTTCGAACGGTGTAATCTCAACCCTTCCCGGTCGCCATGCACCTGCGCTAGGACCCATCCTCGGGCGCCCAGCAGACAGAAGGTGTGCACGGCAGACTCGCAGGAGAGGATACCCGTAGCCGCACCAGTTCACAACTAGAAGATGACGTTACCGAAGGTAAGTCTCAGCATGACCCATTCCTGCACAGTTCGTCCCTTGGCGTGCATCTCCCTCGGCCGTTAATCACCAGTTTGAGCTCGTCTTCATCGAGACCGGCGACGGAAGAACTTTCGGCGTCGAAAGCCGCGGCGGGCGTGACGGTGGCCTCGTGTTGGGTGGGCATTGTATGCAGAGAAGAGAAGGAGGCGGGAGCAGAGGACGGAGAAATAGAGCGATCGATCATTGCGTTATAAGTACAGCGTGTTATGTAACGCCTTCCCACACTTCGCTCGTACAACAGTTATCTCACACTAGCCTACACATCATACCAGGCACTCACTGGACGTTGAGACGCTGGGATCAGGTACGGGGTCAGCCAGATTCTCAAAAGCACTGGGCAGGCACTCACAGGCTTGAGCGCCTTGATGAGCAGCCACTCTTCATTCGTGACGTCAGTCTTGAACGAAGACTTGGGTAGAGGTGAGCGCGGTCGATCGGCGACATACAAACAGCGCGACACACCTTCAGGACGTCAATACTCTGTCGTGTGATGTGCGAGTAGAGCTCGTCCTTTTCGTCGAAATGCCTGCCGAACATCTTCGCTGACTGGTATACCGCATGCTCGATCTTGACCGCGACACCACCACCGGCCTGGGTCTTCTTGACAATCTGCAAAAGGTCAGGACAACAGCGACACACTGGAAGCGCATTGAACGTACCTCTAAGGATTTGTGGTTGATCTCTAACGAGGTGCTACAGCAAAGGGTGAGCAATTGTTCCTCGCTGCCAAGCAAGATGCGAGCACGTACATCTTGCCAAGGTCGATGATCTCCTTCTTGTTCGTCTCCGGGTCAACTTTGACAACGCAAAGAGGCGTACCGACACGCAATGTGCCATCGAGAATGTCCACACCCAGAATGATCGGGTCGCGCTTCGCGAAACAGGCGATAGTCTTGAGACGACACGGCCACACGGCCTGCGGCGCGGCGTCCTTCCGCTTCGCCTCCATGATCTCCTGGTTGTACGCAGTGAACGCATCGAAGAGATGGTAAATGATGTCGGCTGCATCCACATCCGTCAGCATCTTCACATCTCTAGTCGGAAAGACACTCACCCCTGAATAGCCTGATGCCCATTTCCTCTGCCAACTTCTCCGCCTCCTTGTCGACAGTGACGTCGAAGCACAGGATACACGCGAGCTCCTTCGCCTTCTCCAGCATGGTCGACGCGCGCATGATGTCCTTCTTGTGCACGGGGCCGATGTTGATTCCAGACACGGGGATCTTGGACGACTTGAGGAAGTCGAGCAAGGCCTCGAGTGACCCGAGCGTGCTCGCCTGCACGCACACACCGCGCCCGGACTTGTCGATGGAGTTGAGCAGCGTGGTTAGGTCGGACATGACCTCGTCCGTCAGGTCATCTTCGTCGTCGTCGGGCCCGCACACGAGCAGACGCGAGCCGGCAATGGCCTTGTCGAGGTCGGGGGCGACAATCTTGATACCGAGCGCGGCCTTAACTGATTTGTGGTGGACGTATGCAGACTACGAGGAGCTGGTTAGTAGTGTTCACCTAATGCAATAGCCGTAGAATGTACCTTGATACGCAGCTCACGGAGAGGCTGCGGTGTGAGCAATGCACGGACTTGAGTGACGATGGGCCCGTTGAGACCGCAAATCACGATCTTGTCTCCTTCGTGCAAATAACCGTTCGACAAGACGACATCGATGGTCGTACCCAGACCTTCGATGACCTTGACCTCGAGCACCGTACATTCGAGCTCGGCGATGTACATCAGCCGGTCGCTCATGCGCTGCTGCGTCAGGTTGACAAGGAGCATGATCATGTCTGGCACACCCTCGCCAGTTATGGCCGAGGTGGGCACAATCGAGACGTTGCGCGCGAAGTTCTTGTTCTCGTAGTAGAGCACGGCGTTGAGACCCTGCTCGGCGAACGCGAGAATGATCTTTTTGGACATGTCTTCGAACTGGCGCTGCACGCCCTGGTTCTGCTTCGCGAGGGAGCTCCGGAAGTCGTTGTCAGGCGTCGCATCCCAACCGTAGATACGGTCGATCTTGTTAAGGGCAACTATGAACGGCGTCTTGCGGTCACGGAGGAGGCGGAGAGACTCAAGCGTTTGGGGCTCGAGACCATGCTATTATATTCGTCATCAGTGAAGCCCTCAACCCCTTCACCTCGGTGAGGTCACGCACCATGATGTCGACGACAAGGATGGCGATGTTACAGAGAGAGCTACCACGGGTACGCAAGTTGGTGAACGACTCGTGTCCGGGAGTGTCGATAACCAAGAGACCGGGGATCTTGTACTCCTGCGAGCCGTCCCTGTTCATGACGGCCGTCTTCGTCTTGATGGCATCCACTGGGAAGTACGTCGCACCAATCTGCTGCGTAATACCACCCGCTTCTCCCTCCTGCACGTTCGTCTGCCGAATCTTATCGAGAAGCTTCGTCTTTCCCGTGTCGACGTGTCCCAGGATACAGCAAATCGGACTCCGGAGGTCGTCCTTGTTCCGCTCCGCCAACGCCTTCTCATGGGCCGCTTGCCGGCGCGCTGCCGCCTCCGCCTTACGCTGCGCCGCCATCTTCTGGGTTTGGGTCAGGCCGTCGTCGCTATCCTCCTCTGAGCTGTCCTCGTCGGATGAGTCCTCGTCCTCGTCGTCTTCGTCCGAGGACTCTTCTTCTGACGATTCCTCCTCCTCCTCCACCTTCTTCGTAGCGGGCTTATCGCCTCCATTAGCAGGCTTCGCCACCGGTGTGGCTTTTGCAGGAACAGCCTTGGCGCCACCGTTCGCCGCTTTGACCGGCGCGCCCTTCACGGGAGCAGCCTTCGTTGGAGCAGGGGCAGCCTTGGACGAGCTGTTGGCTGGAGCTGCTTTGGATACGGGGGCAGGTTTCGTCGGTGGTGCTTTTCCTCCTCGTCGCTGTCCGCATCCCACGAGTCCTTTACGGCTTCCTTCTTCTCCTGCTCCTCATCGCTGCTCGCCTCCCAGTCATCCTTGACGTCGTCGTCCGCTTCGGATGCAGGAGCTTCGGGAGCCGCAGCAGAGGGTGCCGGGGCAGGTTCCGGAGCGGGCGAAGGAGAGGCCTCGCGCACGGGCGAGGGATCGCGCGTGCCGGGATGGCTGTTGGTCTGCGTTCCTGCCGCGCTGGCTGGGGCCTTTTTCTTCTTGCGGTTGTCGTACACGACGCGCTTGGGGGCCGGACCGCTGCCACCCTGCTGTAGGCCTTCGATCTGGACGCCAGAGGCAAGGAGGGCCTGCTTCCGGAGCTCTACAGCGCGCTGCTCTTCCTTCTGCTTCTTGGTGAGCAACCGGCCCTCCTTCTTCGCGATCTCGCGCTTGGCCTGGATGAACGCTTGGGATTAGGAAGGTGAATGGACATTCGAGGGAGCGGGACGGACCTTCTCCTTCTCCTTCTTCCTCTGCTTCTCTTCCTCCTTCTTGCGAGCCTCTTCCTCGGCAATCCTCTCCTCTTCCTCTATCCGTTTCCGCTCTTCTTCTTCCCTCCTCCTCGCCTCCTCTTCCAGCCTCTTCTTCTCCTCCATCAGCGCCTTCAGTGCGCCGATACCACCGCCGGCTTTCTTCTTCGCAGGTGCAGGTGCAGGCTCATCGTCTTTCTTCGCCTTCTTCTTCTTCTTTTTCTTTTTGTCACCTCCACCCCCACCGGCTGCTTCGTCGCCCTCGTCGTCGTCATCTCCTTCTGCGGCGGGGGCGGGAGGTGCTGGTTCTGAAGGTGCGGGTGCGGGTGCGGGTGCTGCCTCATTGTCGCCAGCTTGAGCTTTCTTCGCAGCGGCTTGCTCCTTTTTCTTCGCCTGTATAACAGCAGATTACACACCGGTCGCAAGAAAGGCACGGATGAATCGCCTTAAATACACACCTTTTCTCTCTCCTTCTTCAGCTTCTCCTTCTCCTTTTTGGAGAGAACTTTTGGGCCCGCATCTTCCGCCGCATCCTCTTCGAGCTCCTTGTCCGCTACGGCAGGTGAAGGCGCCGCCTCGGCGGGAGTGGCAGGCGTCTCGGCTACATCCCAATCAGCCCTCGTGCTGAAGCCTCCCGTGTGCAACGGAAAGTACTCACCAGGCCTCTCCTCCTCGTCCTCCTTCTCCTCGTCCTGCGCCTTGCCCTTCTTCTTCCCTTTCTTCCCTTTCTTGCCCTTCTCCTTTACCGGGCCCCACTCCTCGTCGGCGATCTCATCTGCCGTCATCTGCACGCCCGCCTTGGGTGCGGCGGCCTCGCCGTCCTCGCCTCCTGCCGGGGCATCCTCGAACTCGAGTGCACTGAACCCGCCCTTCTTCTTGTCCTTCTTCTTATCCTTCTTGCCCTTCTGCGTCGCCGCCTTGATCGTAGACTGTCGAACGCGAGTCCACGGACGGGGAGAGTGACCACGCACAAGTCAGACGACATCCTGTAGCAAAGAAGCCACGGCGCACCATCAGCCCACCGAAATCCCCCTCCTCATCTTCCTCCGCGGCCTCGCCATCCTCCATGCCCAGGGCTGCGAACACAGAGGACGCACCGGCCTTGCCCTTGCCCTTCGGCGCGCTGAAGTCCTCATCCGATGCGTTACCCGCGTCTGCAACGGGATTGTTGCCTGCGACGGACGTGCCCGCCTTTTCCCTGGACGAGATCGAGGACGCATGAGATCAGATCCTCGTGCGCACCGCGGAAGGAGAGGGCCCGATGAAGGTGCAAAGGACGTACCAGAAGTCGTCGTCGTCGTCGTCCTGCTTCTTTCCCTTCTTTCCCTTGTTCTTTGGGGCCATCCCTACAACGATCGGTGCAAGGCTTTTCGTGTGTATGCGTGGGGCGTCTGGGGACGGAGGAGTAACGAGGCCCGTGGGGGGTGTGAGGAAAGGAATGAAGTGCAGCCGAGCCTGAAAGTTCCTAGCAGGCGGATCGCGGTTCCGGCTGGAAGCGCTTGAGTCAAGTACTAGTTCACTAGTCAGGCCTATCCTCCTCTCTACCAGTGACTACTACAATCCACACCATCTCGCATTTACCCATTGAATCTTTCAGGCCTTCGAAGCTTCACATACTTTGGTGCATATACGGAGACGTAGTGTTCTGTGCCCAGTCCGAGGACGTCAGTGACTCCGAGAACGCCTCGAGCTCGAACGTCAATCCGCGCCTGTGATGTGAGCAATACCTAGTTCGCTTTACCGCAGGCTCCGCACGACATTGACGGCTATTCCCAGCCACATACATCGCGTCTCTCGACATGGGCCTGCTGACAATCATCCGTAAGAACCGCCAGAAAGAGAAAGAGATGCGCATCCTGTTCTTGTGCGCCAGAGATCGCTTCTCGATAGTACGCGCCTGACCGTGACCGCTCCGCAGGGGTCTGGACAATGCCGGGAAGACGACGATCCTCAAGAAGCTCAACGGCGAGGACATCATGGGCATCAGCCCCACCCTCGGCTTCAACATCAAGACGTTCGTGCATGGCAAGTGAGCACGCTCCCACCCTTCTCTCGCAGCACACTGACGCAAACTCCTGGTGCGCAGATACACCTTGAACATCTGTACGTCACTCAACGCGATGCCAGCACTGTGGATATGGTGTGCTGACTGCTTTTTTGCCAGGGGACGTCGGAGGTCAGCGTACGCTGAGACCATACTGGCGAAACTACTTTGAACAGACAGACGCACTCGTCTGGGTCGTCGACTCGGGCGACCGCATGCGCATGCAAGACTGCAAGGAGGAGCTTCACAGCCTCCTGCAGGAGGACGTAAGTGTCCATGCGATGTCCGTTTGTAATTCTGACGGTGGCCCCCTTTGTGCAGCGACTGGCAGGCGCGTCTTTGCTCATCTTCGCCAACAAGCAAGACATACAAGGCTCGATGTCGAGCGCAGAAATTCGCGATGTGAGTATCGCGCACGGCATAGAACGCTTGACTGCGCCCTGCTTCTGACGTGATTCCATAGGCTCTGGATCTTCCCTCGATCAAGTCGCACCAATGGAAGATCCTGGCATGCAGCGCAGTCACAGGACTGAACCTGGTCGAGGGGCTCGACTGGGTAGTGGGCGATGTTGCGAACCGACTGTACTGCTCGTCCACCGAGGCCTCGACCGGCGCGCGGCAGCCGAGCGGATCCGCTGTGTCGTCAGCAGTTGCGGTTGGGTGACGGGATGAAGACAGGGAGTCCTCAGGGAGAACGACGCCCGGTCTTCTATTTCCAACCATGTCCCGCGTGTAATCTGCAGTACGGTGACCCAGGAAGCCTTGCAATTGGACTGATCCCTCCCCAACGTTCAGGTCACGACTGCCCCACTCGCTTCCGCCTGGGGAAGCTGCGTGGGAATGCCCCCGCCTGGCGCATGCAATTGGAGATTGTCGCACGCAGGCAGCGCGCCGGTGGGTGGCTTCCCCCGGATGCTTTTCAATATCTTGAGACGAGGGCGGGGACCGGGCCCGAAGGGCGATCGTTTTAATTCGCAGTGGGCGAGCCGTTGGCGCACCGGGTCTTCCTCTTCCTCCTCCTTCTCCTCTGCCGTACGCATCACCCACCTCGTCCAACCATGCGCACCCCGAAGGTGCTCAAGGAAGCGTGGGCGCTGCTGCGCCGCGTGCGCTGGTTCAACCTTGCGATCCTCACCATCACTCCCGCCTTGGGTGTGTACGGCGCCGCACACACGCCGCTGCGCGCCCCGACGCTGGTCTGGGCGGCCGCGTACTACGTGATCTCCATGCTCGGTCCGTTCTCCCCGTTCTCCCCTCCTTCCCCCCGCCCTCGTTCATCCCCTCCGCGCACAGGAATCACTGCGGGCTACCACCGCCTGTGGTCACACCGCTCGTACACGGCTTGCGCCGTGCTCGAGTACGCGCTCGCGATCATGGGCGCGAGCGCCGTCCAAGGCTCTGTCTTTTGGTGGGCCCGCGGCACCGCTCGCACCACCGCTACACGGACACCGCGTTGGACCCGTATAACTCAAAGCGCGGACTGCTGTATGCGCACATCGGCTGGATGCTAGTGCCCCACGCGTGAAGCCGGGCCGGCCGACATCGCCGACCTCAGGAAGAGCACGGTCGTGCAGTGGCAGCACCGCTGGTACTTCGCGCTCGTCGCCGTCGTGGGCTACGCGCTACCCGCGCTCGTCGCTGGCCTGGCCTGGCGCGACTGGCGCGGCGGGTGGGTGTATGCGGGGCTTTGGAGGATCACGTTCGTGCACCATGTGCGTCCCGCTTCTCCCTTCGCGCATGCGTGCCCAGCCGATCGCACGTCCTTCCTTTTCCGCTCAGTCGACGTTCTGCATCAACTCCATCGCGCACTACTTCGGCGACAGCCCGTTCGACGACCGGAAGACGTCTCGCGACCACTTCCTCTCCGGTACGCCGCTCCGCCGTCTCTCCGTCCGCGCGCTCACCCGGCCCCCGCGCCCGCGTAGCGATTCTCACCATGGGCGAGGGCTACCACAACTTCCATCACCAGTTCCCGATGGACTACCGCAATGCCGTGCGCTGGTACCAGTTCGACCCCACCAAGTGGTTTATCGCCGCCTGCGCCGCGCTCGGGCTCGCCTCCAACCTCCGGGTCTTCCCGCAAACGAGATCGCCAAGGGCGCGCTCGCGATGCAGCTCAAGCGCCTCAAGCGCCTCCAGGACGGCCTCGCGTGGCCCGGACAGGTCGACGACCTCCCCGTGCTCGGCTGGGATGCCTGTGAGTGTGTTCTTCGGTGCGGTCGGCACCGACAGGGCCGGAACATGCGCACGGCTGATGGCTCGAATGCCCGTTTGACCTCACTTGTGACTTCTTGTGGGAAGTTCAACAGGAGGCAGAGAAGCGCGCGCTCGTTATCGTGTCCGGCTTCATTCATGACGTCGAGCCGTTCCTGGACGAACATCCGGGTGGGAGGGCGCTGTTGGAGGGACAGAAGGCAAGGACGCAACGGCCGCGTTCTGCGGAGGAGTATACGAGCATGGAAATGCGGCACATAATGTACGTGGTTCTTGCCTTGCTCGCGCTGTTCAAGAGGTGTTCACGCAGTGGTTTGAAGCTGCTCTCCATGATGCGAGTGGGGGCTCTCTTAGGAGGCGTCGAGCATGTGAAGGCAGTATCACCAGGAGAGAGGCTGAAGATCATAGAGCGCCTGAATTAATAGGTGAGCCTTCAGCTCAGCGCTGAGCGCTGCTAGCACTGATAAATGCATTCGTGGTATCACAGAGAAAAAAGTGCGATGAATTCCATGCATGAAATTGTCCGGTAGCCGTAATACAATCTCTTTGTGTTACGTGCGCCCGACTTTAAGATCACCTTCAGGTCACACCCTCGCTTTACACTTAAAATGACTTGTAGCCCTAGGTCTAGCTCCTGCCTCGGCTTCAGCACCATCCCTTTCGACGCCGATGTCTCCTGCCGCCCGTTCATCCCGCTTTCCGCCTCGCCCTATCCGCCTCGGTAGCGCCCCCAGATGCGGACCGTCCGACCACACCAAACCGCCCAGGAGCAGCGAGCGTCCGGCAGCACGCCCACCGCTCAACCCGGCGTGCGCCCGCACTCGCCGTCTCCATCGAGCACCGCCAGTTCCACTCATCGACATACCCTAGAAGCGTATGTACCAGCCATCGAGGCGTCTAGCAGTGCGCCACTAGGAGTGCATCCCCCACGAGCGAAGTTCCCGCATGAAGCAGACGCTGAGCCCCGCGCGCTCGCACCAGTCGACGGAGACCCAGAGGTGGATTCTGCTTGCATAGGCAGCAACCTCGGCCGTATCGTAGTGCCTGTGCTTAGTCATCGTGTAGCTGCTAGTCCGTCATCCCGCACTCGCCTCACGCGTTTGCCCTTCCCCACCGTGACCTCGCCCTCTTCCTCGCGTCCGTCTGTACTCGCCTCCCGGTGCCAATAGGGATCAACCGCGCCGCATCGATTGCCTTTACCCTCTTCCGAGCCGCCGACGTCTAACAGAAGGCGGAGGGCTCGAGCGCGGACGACTCTGTGAGCATATCCAGCAACACTCTGCGACGGAGGACCTGGGGTCCGGCGCCGAAGGGCAAAGCCAATGGGTGGTGATGGGCGTAAGAGTGTGACAGCTCTGGTTCCCAGGAGTGTATATAGCCGAAGGCGAGGATCCAGGCATGGCTTCCCAGCTGAGGGATTGATCAAGAAGACGCGGGGCTGGCGCCCGTCGGGGGTTAGACAAGACGCCGAGCGGAAAGTTTGTGTCTTGTATTGTGTAACGCCGCGCAGTTCAGACAATCCCCTATGCCCCGCCTCCTCGTCTACTATTTTGATGCCGACCGCTACGAACCCGTCTTTTTGCCCGAATGGGATTGCCTGATGGGCCTTGTGGACTTCTTCAACACTAAATATGGGCAGTGGGGCACCGAAGCAAGAAATACCCAGTACATCGTTGTGAGTCTTACGACATCGAGTTTGGATCCCGGCAGCACTGATGCGCATACACTTGAGGCGCAAGGTATAGAACCCAATCCTGAAGAGAGTCTGCGTGAACGTGTCATCAACTATCTGAAAGCCGGGCCCCACGAGGAGGTTAGGTACGACACCTTTGCTGTCGAATTCAAGAATTTTCCGCACTTCGATGGGACTCTAGACCTCATCTTACGAGGCGCTCCCGGTACGTTCGTTCGCTCGAGCTTCCCACGGATATCGCTGAGACATCGCAGTTTCTCTTTCTCGATACCACAAGCTCGCTCCGCTCCCTGCGACGTTCAAGAAGGGTACGCTTTCCCTTCAATGTTGGCGGGCTATGTCTTGCTCACTGATGCACAGACCTTGACGATGCCCACCGACGGCTTTCAAGGGGCAAGTTGCCGTCCCCATCTTCACATAAATATTCTCTCTGTGAAGATGCTGTCGTCGAGAAGGTGACGGGGGAAGTCGATCTCGTGTATGGCCGTCCGCATGAGACGTATGGCCCCCCGATCGCGTTCTTCGACCCTTCCATCGCCCGCTTAAAACAGGATCTCCGCAACCCTACTACCACGCGAGAGGAGCGAATCGAACTGTTCCCCCTCTGTGACAAGTTAGTAAAAGTCGCTTCCAAGTTCTACTCCAACGAAATCGAACATTCAGTTGCTGTGACACCGTGCATCGCGGCGCTTTTCCCTGGTCATACCGTCATTGCGCAGTCGGCTACCGGAGGAGGCAGATCTTGTGCCCATATCCGGTGGTGTGTCCCATCTACCGACGACCCGTTGTTGCACTACGCCGTGCTCGAGTTGAAGAATGAACGCGGGGGAAGAGGCGATGCTCGGTTCCAGGCCCTCAACCGTTACAAAACATTGATCAAGAAGGTACATCTACTACGTCCCTATTTTCCTGCGAGCATCGCTGACTCTGACGCTCAGGCTACAGATCAAAACTACCACAATCACACGAACTTCCCGGCTCTCATCCTCACGCTCACCGCGAACGTCTTGTTCATCGAGGCCGCACTGTACACCGATACCATCTACTGCGAATTCCTCTCGATGCTCAACCTATCCCTCCCGTTCGAGGCCGTCGAGTTCAGTCGCCGTGTTGTGGATGTGATGGCTGCCGTGCGGCGATGCCTAAACAGCCTCCGAGACACATACGGCAGTCTTCACGCGGACCGTCATGAAGACCGTCCCCCCGTCCCCCCTCTGGGCCACTTCTTCCCTCGGCCCACCGCCCTAGCCGACACCGAGCACCCCGAAGTCACACCCCGCGCCCTGCCAGAGGGCCTGGAGTTTATCTGCCGACTGGACCACCTCGGCGCACCCGTCCGCGGACTGGCGCTGGACCCGAGCACCCGCAGGTGCAACCCGATCTACCTCGCCGGGCTGCACGGGACGCCGGTGCTCGTCAAGTTCACGGAGCGGTACAACATCGACGCGCACGAGATGCTCGTCGCGCCCGGCCTCGCGCCGCCCGTGCACCACTTCGCGCGCATCGTGGGCGGGTACGTGGTCGTCATGGAATACGTGCCCCCCGAGCGGGGCCGCGACCTCACCGACGGGAAGCCCGCGGGTGCGAGGGCGGAGGTCGCGAGGGCGCTCCGCATCCTCCACGACGCCGGCATCGTGTTCGGGGACCTCCGGGAGCAGAACGTGCTGTATATCCCCGCGACGGGCGACGGCGATCCCGCCCGGACGTGGCTCATCGACTTTGATTGGGCGGGCGAAGCGGGCGTGGCGGAGTACCCGCCCAGGATGAATCCCTCGGTGACTTGGGCGGCTGGGATGGTACCTGGGGCGCCGATGAAGGTCGAGTGTGACGAGGAGATGTTTGAGATGATGTTCTCTTGAGGGTTCGCATGGTCCTTTTGTACGGACTGTCCTTGTTCATCAGACACATTGGAAGCCTGAAGATATGCATCACCACGGCCGAACTACGCTACGCGGTGCGCTGTTGTCGTTTGGTGTGCCTTCCAGGTTGAACAAAGAGCCTAGAAGTTGCGCGGCCGCGATAGCGGCGGACTATCGAGACGCGCAGTCCTTGCGCCGCTCGTGAGAGAAGCAAACGCAGCGAGAGGAGCGCGGTAGACTCACTCCTCTCACCTTCGCGCCAGGGAAACATCGGTGGCCAGAGCCGGGTGATCACGAATCCATGCAGTCGGAAGCAAAGACTCCCCCGCGCAAGCGCGGCGGGAGATTATCATACATTCTGACAGTGTGGTCGGAGTAATAGTAGCAAGACACCGGGGCGATTAGGCTCCCCTCTATGCAGGTAAGTATGTGCTAATCAGGTATAATATAGTAATGCAACACGGGCCACCCGCGTGCCGACGTGGGCTGCTTTCGTTTGACGTCGTCAGCCGCCTCCCTCTCCAAGCCAGCCTAGTGGAGGGAGCGAGCTGCGCACCCCACCCACACCGAGGGCCGCGACGCGACGCGGACCCTCCATATCCATCGAAGGGTCAGGTATCAACAAAGGAGCGAGCGCGTCCAGCCTCGTCCGTGCGAGGGGTACAGGATAGCCTGTGAGCGACGCTCGCATATGCGCGTGCGTGCAAGAGAGCACGGACGCTCCAGCGCATAGGCGCAGGGCGTACGAATCGACGAGAGCACAGCTGAGGGGAGAGGGAGAGGTAGAGGGGAGAGCAAAAAATCGCAGAGCAAGGGGTATCGCGCGCCTTACGGCAGGTCGTTCAGCATCCGCCGCGCGACG